TGCGAGTGTAAATATCAATAAAGAAAGAAGAATTTTTGGGGAGGTCTGGTCGCAAATAATAAAGTAACAGTCTCGGAATTTTGTCCGAGAATTATCGTATTAGCAGATGTTGAGGATTTCTGATTGTAACTTATAAGCTATTAATTGACTTTTTTATTGTTGATCGCTTCACTTTGTGGACATGTGTGATTTGTCCGATTTCTTTAAAAATAATTGAAATTTTAATTTAATTCAAAATTAATAATCAATTTATTTATCAAATTTTACTAAAAATTGATTTTAATCCAACACAAAACAAAGGCTAAGTGTGAAATCAAATGTAAGGACATTTTTAAATTAATTAATGTAAGAATTGAGAATTTACAAGATAACTATTTATTTGGTTAATGTGTTAGATCAATTTATTAACTTTACTTTCTGAAAGTAAATGATTCAAGAGTGATATTACACGTACATAATGGAGTGTTAATAACGGTGTTCACCCCCTCACATGGAATGACCCATTTCGAATAAAATATAATATTTTCAAAGTGGGTTCCCCTCCATGTGAGAGGTTGGACACCGTTATGAACACGACATTATATACAAGTAGCATATTTCATTATACAAATCTGTACAGTACCCAACATCTTGAAAAAGAATGAGACTTGCTTGTTTGGTTTCATTATTATCTAAAGTCAAGAGTAAATATTAATTTAATTACATATTCATAATTACTGTCCATTTTATTATTCACACTTTTGGTGTGTCTCGTTGGTCTGAAATTAGGCGCTTCATTTTTAATCATACTGAAAAATCATTAATATTTGCCTATTAATGTATTTATGTTTTCAGTGTTTTATTATCAATCTTTCAAAAATTAGTACGTCAACTGTTTTATGACAATTTTTGTCTATAAGGTCCACTAAAAAATATAAAAATATTAATTTGTCAAATATTTTTTAAATGAGCAAAGTACATAAGTGCAACGCACTATTTACTCCTTATTTCAAAGCACGTTAACGCAATATGTTTGTTGAAATCCTTATCAGTGACCAAATATACTAACAGCAATTTCATTTCTACAACAAGGGTTGACTAAAGAGATTGACAATTTCTCACGGTGATGAGCCATACTATGATTAAAAAAAGAAAAAAATTATCCACCTACCCACCCTATGTATGAGAAGTTGTCAACAAGACCACCCCCTCCCCCGTACAAGTAGCACAGCTCATATACTTAACTCTTGTTTGAGCCTCATTCTTAGGCCCCGTTTGGTATGGATTCTCCAATTAAAAAACCTCATAAATGGGGATCTCAAGCAATATTAAGGCCCCGTTTGGTACGGATTCTCCAATTCTACAGTAAATCAATTCTCATTTTCAACCACACATTCTTCAATAAAATAATATTTTCCATCACATCAATAATCTTATCTTCTTTTTCAACCACACATTTTTCATCATATCACTATTCAAAATCAATTCTTTCCCCAAAAAATCTATACCAAACAAGCTCTTATTTTCATTTTCATTTTCAACCGCACATTTTTCAATAAAATAATATTTTCATCTCATCAATAACTTTTTCTCTTTTTTTCAACCACATATTCACCATCACATCACAAAAAAATACATTATTTCTATTTTAATGTGCATCAAACACACTCTAATTAAAGAAAATATGATCACATATACATAAGTGCGATAAATGTAATTTTAAAAAGGTGCAGCAAAAATAAAATGTTATTTAATGATGAGAAATTTACGAAATACAAATACTCCAAAATTTCAAGTAGGTCATATCACTTTACTCTTCAGATTTAAGGCTTGTTTGATACCCGTAGTTTTCAAAATACAATTTACTCTCTCTTTTTTTTAAACACACATTTTTTAATAGAATAATATTACACACAATCCAAAAAAAATCTTTCATTTTTAACAACACACTTTTCATCAATCAACTGTTCCAAAATGTATTATACATTTAAAAAAAATTGGGCTCAAAAAGGCCCCAACTTTTACTCGTAGACAGCTTATTAATTATTTTCTCGATTTTTTTGGATTCGATTAATTAGAAATTGAATAAAATAAGTTAATGGTAAGCAAATTATTGTCTAATCTTAAATTTAGCCATATATTCGATTGCTAAAAAAATTTATTCACGAATTCAAAAATCAATTTCGATACGTGAATTCCAAATCAACAATAAAAATATTTCTAACACATTTAACTATTGTATTTTAAGAAAAAAAATATCGTATCACCTGGCTAACACTCCAATTGTGACTTCCATCTACTCCAATTTGCTTACGGAAAGGTTTTTTGTCCAAAATTTCTCTGGTCACTTCGTTTCACTGACGATGAGTGTAAAATTAATAACTAAAAGCTACAAGAACGTGGGAGAAATCGAGGATCCATGACTTAGAGATGTTCAAATTTGCAAGGAAGATTTAATGATGGTAAAAAAATTTGACAAACTCGATATCCGCGTGGCCTAGCCTCGAATGGAGCAAGGATACCCCCTTAATCAGGTATTCGGGTCGGGGACGAGGGCGGAGAATTGTGCCCCGGGGCGGGGACGGGCAACGGGTGCCCAACCCCGTTTAAATTTTTTTAATTTTTTTTTTAATTCAATACTTTAAATGGAAAATTTCACCAAATTTCATTAATTTTAATAGAAAATAACAACTAAAATTATTTGTCTCAATCTAATGAATGTGGACGATAAAATAAATTATTAAAAACTTTTTAAAAAAAGGGGTAGTAAACGGGACAAGCCGCGCCCCGCCCCGCCCCTCCCCGTCCCAGTCCCATCCCGTCCCGTCTTGCCTTACATTGCCTTGTCTTGCTCCATTGTCATCCCCAAGGAGACTAGGAAATTGTGAACATGTGAAAATGAAGGATTTTGGTCGCAAATCTATAAAAGGTTTGGTACCCCCTCACTCTTCCCGCCTTCTAAAAATTATGAAGTAACTGTTTGATTTTGATTTTGATTTTGATTTTGGTTTTGGTTTGATTTTTGATAAGTAATTTTGTGAAAAATTGATTGGACAACCTAGAAAAATACCCTTAAATTTTGAGGTCTTTTGAAAAATCATATGAAATGTATTTTTGAAGTAAAAAATACTGTGTAAAATTATAAAAAAGTGACACAATCTTACTTTTTAAAGTTAAGTATCACTTTTTTACATACAGTATCAATTTTATTAAAAAATAATATTTTTCACTAAAAGAAGAAGTAGAAATTTTAAGAATGTGACATAAAGTAAAAATAAAAAAATAGTGACAAACACTAAAAAAAAGTGACAACAATTAAAAAATGTGACAAAACACGAATTAAAACATTAAAATCTATTCAATAAAGTAACTAAACTTTTCGTTTAAGTCAATTAAACCAACATTGTTGAGAGATTCTTAAATCTTAATTCTACAAAAAGAGATAAACACTAAAAAAGTAATGAATTCAAAAAAATGGCACAAATTAAAAGAAGTTATATAGATTAAGCCCCGTTTGGTCCAGATTAAAATTTGATTTTAATTCAAGTCAAAGTTAAACAATCAATATTAACATCTTTTATGGTTCTCACAACTTTTCAACCACACATTTCAAAAACCTCTATCACAATCTACTAAAAATCTAATTTTAATTTCCACCAAATACCCTTTAAAAAAGTGGCAAACACTAAAAAGGTGACAATTCAAAAAAAAATGACAAACTGAAAATGTCAATGACTTTAGTAGCTTACATAGATTGAAAGATATATAAAAAGACTAAAATTTTCAGGACTAAAGTGACAACCACCTTCCACTTTGCAGCCAGCAGAAGCAGAGATTCACCGAGTCTTTTTCTAAAGTTGAGTTGATTGTTCCAAAGCAGATTTAGAATTCTCCAATATCCCTTAAACATGTGATACTAATTAAAAACATATTTGTAACATACAACAATCAAAAAGCGACTTATAACACAATCTATTTGTGCAGCACCAGTAATCACGTTCTTAACATAATCAACCACCTAATTAAAAACATATTTGTAACATACAACAATCAAAAAGTGACTTATAACACAATCTATTTGTGCAACACCAGTAATCACGTTCTTAACATAATCAACCACCTACAGCTGTACCAAATTCCAACCTAACCAATCAGCCACCTCAAGTCCCACCACCACAACCAATCCGAATAACATTTTGCACACATGCAACCTACATCAATTTAAATGCCAAGAATCAGAATTAAACTAAAAAGAATTCCATAAAAACGACATAATCAGTTACTATGCAAACCTGAATATTGTTATTTGATCCAATATAGTACTAATCAACTATCTTTAGACAACCCACATACATTGCTATTGTCCATCACTAGAGTATATCTTCATGTAAAGTTCTCAAAATAGCATAAAATTCCTTAAAGAAATCAAAAGATAGAATTTTTTATTACCGTTCAATTAACGCCAAAATTAGAAGGGAAACTAAAATTTGTTTACACCAAACCATTAAGATAAACCCAATATTTTCTCTATCAAAAAATACCCAAAAAAGAAAGAAATATCATATTAATCTAAAAG